GGTGGGTGGGGCATGTCTGGGAAGGGAGGGCCGACACAGCTGGTCGTAGCCCCCCGCCTGCGCAATTTTCAAGGGAGGGAGCCAGTGGTGGTGATGGTGGGGGGACCCTCTTCGCCAGGGATGCTTCGAAGAAATCCACCGCGGTGGTTTCAACTATGCTGGCTGATACATAGTGGTGGTGGGGGGTGTCCCACTGGTTCAGGGAGGGGGAAGATTCTCTTTCTAGATGTTGAAGGCTGCAGGGGGCGATGGCAAAGCTGGCAAAAGACGCCCAACCCCCGAATGGCCACTGGGATTCCCCCTCCCTCCCCAGGAGTGCTGGGATCACGGGCAGGGCGGGCACCGCGCTAGGGGGCATCCCGGCAAGGCGGCTCTGGTCCCTCGTCCTCACTCGGGCAAGGAGGGGAGAGGCGGCCCGCTGGCGAGCCGCGAAGGGGGGAGGCTTCCGGGGACGGCCGGGGGGCGGTGGCACCCTGCTCCCTCCCCTCGGGGAGGACACGGGATGGGAGAGGCGCAGTTAGAATCTGGAGCTCTTCTGTGACTTGGAGTTGGCCTGGGGGGAAGAAGAGAACTTGGTCAGAGAACCCCACCCTGGGAAGCCGGAACAGCCAGCGCTGTCCCCAGACCAAAAAACCACACAGCATCTGTGCACACGCGCACACACACACACGTCACAACTGGGAAGCTGTCCTGTGCACAAACCCAGCCGTGTTTGGTGTAGTGGTTAAGTGCGCGGACTCCAATCTGGGAGAACCGGGTTTGATTCCCCACTCCTCCACTTGCACCTGGCTGGATGACCTTGGGCAAGCTGTAGCTCTGTTAAGAGCTGTCCTTGAAAGAGCAGTTTCTGCCAGAGCTCTCTCAGCCCCACATGCCTCACGGGGTGTCTGTTGTGGGGAGGGGAAGGGAGAGGAGTTCTTAAGCCACTCTGAGACACATTTGGGTAGTGAAGGGCGGGGTATAAATCCAATCTCTTGGTGTAGTGGTGAAGTGCGCATCCACTTGCACCTGGCTGGATGACCTTGGGCAAGCTGTAGCTCTGTTAAGAGCTGTCCTTGAAAGAGCAGTTTCTGCCAGAGCTCTCTCAGCCCCACATGCCTCACGGGGTGTCTGTTGTGGGGAGGGGAAGGGAGAGGAGTTCTTAAGCCACTCTGAGACACATTTGGGTAGTGAAGGGCGGGGTATAAATCCAATCTCTTGGTGTAGTGGTGAAGTGCGCGGACTCTAATCTGGGAGAACCGGGTTGGATTCCCCCCTCCTCCACTTGCACCTGGCTGGATGGCCTTGGGCAAGCCGTAGTTCAGTTAAGAGCTATCCTTGAAAAAAAAGCAGTTTCTGTCAGACCTCTCTCAGCCCCACCGACCTCCTCACAGGGGTGTCTGTTGTGGGGAGGGGAAGGGAAAGGAGATTGTAAACTGCTCTGAGACACCTTTGGGTAGTGAAGGGCGGGGTATAAATCCAATCTCCTCCTCCTCCTCCTCTTCTTCTGGTTAAGTGCGCGGACTCTAA